CGCCCGCCATGACCCCTTGCATGAGCCCCATGGCGTACGCGCCGTCCAACCTGGGCCGCAGCCGCGCGGGCGGCGGCGGCGACGCCAAGACGTTCAAGCGCAGCTACCCGCACGCCAAGCCGCCCTACTCGTACATCTCGCTCATCACCATGGCCATCCAGCAGGCGCCCAGCAAGATGCTCACGTTGAGCGAGATCTACCAATGGATCATGGACCTCTTCCCCTACTACCGGCAGAACCAGCAGCGCTGGCAGAACTCCATCCGCCACTCGCTGTCCTTCAACGACTGCTTCGTCAAGGTGGCGCGCTCCCCGGACAAGCCGGGCAAGGGCTCCTACTGGACGCTGCACCCGGGGGGCGGTGGTGCCAAGAGCGGCCCTGAGAGCCGCAAGGACCCGTCGGGCGCCGCTAACCCCAGCGCAGACTCGCCCCTTCATCGGGGCGTGCATGGTAAGGCCGGCCAGCTAGAGGGCGCGCCGGCCCCTGGGTCAGCCGCCAGCCCCCAGACTCTGGACCACAGCGGGGCGACGGCGACAGGGGGCGCCTCGGAGTTGAAGACTCCATCCTCCTCGTCCGCGCCCCCCATAAGCTCTGGGCCCGGGGCGCTGGCATCTGTGCCCCCGTCTCACCCGGCGCATGGCCTGGCACCCCATGAGTCTCAGCTGCACCTGAAAGGGGATCCCCACTACTCTTTCAACCACCCCTTCTCTATCAACAACCTCATGTCCTCCTCGGAGCAGCAGCACAAGCTGGACTTCAAGGCCTATGAGCAGGCACTACAGTACTCGCCCTATGGCGCCACGTTGCCAGCCAGCCTGCCTCTCGGCAGCGCCTCGGTGGCCACCAGGAGCCCGATCGAGCCCTCAGCCCTGGAGCCGGCCTACTACCAAGGTGTGTATTCCAGACCCGTCCTAAATACTTCCTAGCTCCCGGGACCGGGGCTTTGTCTGGTGCAGCCATGCTGGTAGCAGGAGAGGAAAAAAAAAAACCCAACAGCAAGCAAAACCACACACACCAAACAGGCAACAGCATAATAAAACCCCAACAACTTTTTATTTCATTTTTCTTTTGGTTTGTGTGCACGATCTTTCCCCTGGTACAAAAGACTGTTACTTTATTATTGTATTCAGAACTTGTTGTGTATATTATTGCAAAGACGACCCCAAACCAACTTTTTTTTCCTGAGAAGTTTAATGATCCACAAGTGTGTATATAAGATACTCCTCCTTCCTAGTCCCTCCCTTTTTTCCTTCTTTCCCCTGCAGACATATTCTAGTCTGTGCAGGGTTTATTTAAAAGAGAAAGAAAGATGGTCAAGTTTGTAAAATATTTGTTTGTGCTTTTTTTTCCCCCTCTTTACCTGACCTCTCACAAGTTTACAGGTCTGTGGCAATACTCTTAATCACAGGAATTGAAATTGTGAAGAAACAAGTAGACGGGCTCTTAAAAGTATGGAGAGACTATGCTGCTGTTACGCAGAAAGACATAAATCATAAGCATCAGAGCCATTTGTTTTTCAGTTTACATTTCTGATACATCCAAGCAGTGGATGTCTTTAAATGAAATATATATTGCATATGGACTTAATTATGCACATGCTCAGCTATGTAGACATCCTCCATATATTTACATAACCTAGAGGGATGATAGGTGATGTACATGCTACGTTTTCAAGAGTTGCCTGACCAGGAACCCTAACCCCCTTGTCATCTCTCTCCCCAAATAGCCCTAGAAATCAATTCCTCTGGAATTGCCATCCCCAAGAACTCTGCACCTTGCTTTGCAGAGTACCATCGTCAAGTCATGCTGAGGTCACATACATGTGTAAAATTAGCTTCTATGTATGAATACCACTTAGAGAATATTTTTTTCCAGAAAAAAAGGGAATATCACAACATTGGAGGAGACAACATAAGTTACTATAAGGAGCTGTACTTCAAAATTTTGACCCCAAAATCCCATTGATTGTGGCCATTTTAATTATTGCCATCGTGTGCTTGTTTCATCCAGTGTTAATGCACTTTCCACATTGAACATGGTATTAGTATAGCCAGACGGGTTTCATTATTATTCCTCTTTGCTTTCTCAATGTTAATTTATTGCATGGTTTATTCTTTTACTTTACAGCTAAAATTGCTTTAAATGATGGTTAAAATTACACATTAAAATGTTAATTTTTATCAATGTGATTGTAATGAAAAATATTTTGATTTAAATAACAAAAATAATACCAGATTTAAACCGTGGAATATGTTCTTGATCATTTGCAGTTAAGAATTTTAAATAAATCAAATGTTAACAAAAAGGATTTCTGTTACTTTCCTTCACTTAATTAAATCCCAAACAGATATTCTGAATTCAATATTTTTTTAATCTAGAGCTGAATATAAACTGACAAAAGGAAAATAATCTAAAATTGTTTTATGACTTCATTGAACATGTAGCTAGTAAAATGCAGTAAAAGAAATTCAGTTATGGTGTGTAGTAAACTGATCTACTATTCCAATAACTGAAAAATTTTTTGAGACTATTCTCAGTGATGTTTTCGATGTTTTAAAATGTGGGTTTAAGTTTTCTGTTTCCTTTGCGTTTTTGCACTGCAAAATCAAATGTTATTAATTTAACTTTTTCCCCTTCCCCAAAGTATCACTTTCTGTCATCAAGGTGTCAAGTGAGAAAGTAAAATATCAGCTGTGGCCGAAAAAATTAAGTTGTCTACAATAGAAACTCCTGAACTCTCTTCTCATTAAAAGAGAAACAAAACTTAGCCATCAGGGTAGCCCTAGAGGGGGTGGGAGGCGGCGATTTAATTCACTCCTGCAGAGGAAAGCTTTGTGCCACCATGACATTTCAGGGCAGCTGCTATTTTGTATTTTGAAGATATATTTTTTAAAATGTTTCTAAAAATATTGTTCCTAAGAATTTAAAGCTTGTGATTTGTTTGCCTTTTAAGAAGCTTTTAAATGCAACTTCATACCCCATAGTTGCTTAGGATCACAAAATCATTAATCTCCTTTGATAGTAGGCTCACTTTCCAGTCCACCTATTTCTTTGTAAGTCTTGTACAGATTGACATCAACAATAACAACACCAGCCCAAGTAGAGGCTGGCCTGCCTGAGCCCTTCTGTATGAACTCCATCCTCACCAGGGCTTGAACTTGGACAGCCTTTACTTTGATCGCTCCACTCCACACCGCGGACAAGATAAAAAGAGCAGTGTGAGTTGCTTAATTATCGCGTAATTGCCTTCCCAGATGAGAGAAGAGATGCCGCGGTAGCACTTGAGAAAAATCCAGAATCCCAACCACCCTCCCTCACTCGAGCTAATGAAAGGAGGCGGAGAGGGAAATTACTGTTATAGTTTGAGGAATTTCAAAACCTAATTTAGAGACTGGGGAAGTACTTTAACATCCCAAAGAGAGGAAAAACCCTCGGAACTCAACGATTATTCGTATTTATATCGGGTAAATAACCGTTGGCAAGTTCGAATTCCAGATGTGCTATAAAGGCGTGAGTTTGGGTGGGTCTCAGAATTTTACCCGGTTTCAGTGAATTTAAACCATCTAACTTTTGTGATGTCGCCGGCGTGATGTTCCGTCCTCTTTATGAAGGCCGCGCAATGGGCACCCCGGCCTTGTCTCTGCGTGCCTGCCTTAGCGGAGCCGCTTTCTGGGCTAGCAGGGGGCGATCCCACTTTGGAGACCGGCCTGGGAAGCTCGCAGCGCAGGGCGCGGGGCTGGCCTGGTCCGGGGGCAGAGGCGCCTCGGCCCAGCGCCCGCCGGGTGGGCTCCTCGGGCGCTTCCAGCCCGCGCCCCGCCGCCTCCCAGCGACGCGGTCTGCGCCCCTGACGCCTGGACGCGCGCGGGTTGGTAGCCAGCTGGTTGCCAGGGAAGCGGGACCGAGCAGGACCGTCGGCACCGCGAGGTGACAAGTGCAGTTAGTTGGTCATTGTTCGGGCATTCTCCCCTCCTAGAGAATAAATCTTCTGTTGAGCCCGAGACCTTAAAGTCAACAAAGAGGGCCGGGCCCTCCTCACAGCTCCCGCGGCCCCCGCGGCGCGCG